TATAATAATTAATATTAATATATTAATATATATGTATTTGTTAATGGAAAAGACACATATCTATGAATTTGTGAAACAAAGACAATTGAAGAGTTTCAAGAAATGGAAATTGAACTACAAATATAGCGTTGTTCCGATGCAGAAATGTAGAATTTGAAAGCTTGAAAAAGCTTTATGTCTATTTTGTTTGACAATCGTTTTTTTATTGGCAGTGAATTAGTGATTGTAATTTATTTAATTATTCAAGTTTTTGTTGTTATTATTCAATGGAATCTTAATTTTTTGTTTTTAATTGTCATGATTTATCTTTATAAAAAACTATTTATTGTCTTTCAAGTTAGACCATATATATTCACCCGTTACTCACCCGATCCACCCGATAACCCGTTCATGATGGATAAGTTGTATGTGGATGTAATTTTTAATGGATGATGTACGGGTGGATGGATTATGAAAAATTAATGAGTGGACGTGGATGAGCCTTCACACGGTATAAATCCGACCCGCTGCCACCTCTAACTCCTGGTAGTGGGCAGAAAGAATGTCCCAAACATACACGTGTAGTCACACGAACATTCGGGTAGCAGTTTGTTAGGAGCAGTTCCAATCAGCCAGTTGTCCCAGTTATCTCTCCAATCACCTTTTACACGTGGTTGCACCCCATTAATCTAGACTGTTAGTTTGTTAAAATGGATTGGATACGTGTCCTCTCCCCATTAGATCAACATATTTTTTACTCAGGCACCAAGTATTGCCTTTTTAGTATAAATATCATTTCAACTTGTGGAAATGGATAGATTTCTGTATTCTCATACTGTTACTCTTCTAAAATATTTACCTGAACTTTTTGATCAGCTCTTCTCTTTTACTTTACTCGGATTCCAGCTACCCCTAGGTCGGTGATCCATCAATGTCTTTTGGCACGTTTTCTCTTAGATGTCGGTGGTTGAAGGATCTTCAAAATCTTGCTTGTAATTCTTGCCGTTTAGTAAGTTGCTCTTGATCCGCTTGAATGAAGTCTGATGGCGCTTCTAGAATGAGTTTCTTGAAAAGTTCCAGACGCACACAGGATTCATCTTCAGTACTTGAGAATCTAACCTTTGTCTCCTCTAGAATGTAGCCTTTTTGACTATTTGATGTGAAAGCTTTTGTGGAGAACTTGTCTGTGGCACAACGGAGAATAATGGTTGACTCATGAGTATATGCTGACCATTTGATTTGAAGCTGAGTGAGCAGATGTCGACAAGAAGATAAATGTGTTGGAGGAGAGACGTGTCCAGGAATGATCTTTGAATTTTTATAAACACGTGGACCGCTCTCCCCCTCATGACGATCCGATGAGTCGGGACGTCATGCCTTTATTTGTCCTTTTATTCTGCAAAAATAAAACTAACATCCGGATACACTGAGATGTTCCGTTATCACAACATCAATGTAAACACTGATGTGTGGCTTGTGTAAAATGATAGAAACATTAAAGCTCTAACAGGACTTCCGACTGATCATTGTGAAGCATCCAAAGTAGATGTCAGTATGGTCGTTCTGGCATTATCACATGTTGGAAAAATAGGAGTATTTCAAATGAATAAAATATTTTATCTCTTTAATTCATATTCTATCATTTAATTATTCAAATAAATTGTCCTCAAAATCTGAACGGTTTTCAACATGTGAGCTCCTACTTTACAACTCAACGTTAATATATTTCACTTATAGGAACATTTCTTTCAGTAGTTTTGTCGACATTAATTTGTTATTATTTTGGCCGTTTCTAATCTGGCCAACAACGGTTCTTTTGTGCACCTATATATATGTTTTGCAAGGCCAGAATGTTTGGAATAAGAAAAATTATGATCTTTTGAGTTCAACATCCCCTAATATATTACAATGCTGCTGGATTAATATTTTATACTCTCGTTGTTCTGTTACCGGCTTACGCCGAAGAGCTCGTTTTATCTTGGGGAAAGGTTTTCACTAGTCGGAAATACTTTCTTGAGGACAGCTTTTACGCGACTCGAGCTATATTAATATATTTTTATTTTCTAACGCTTTTTTGCATGTTTATCCGGCCAATTCCACCAACATCACAATGGTATGCAAAGAAAAATTGTAGCCCCCCGGGGTCACGTAAACGGCAGTTATCATCACCATAGAGATGTGAGATGTGTGATTAAAACACGGAGGAATGATGCTTTTATATAGGATTTTCGGAAAAAATAATAATTAAAAATAATAGAAAAATAAAATAAATTATTTCAACCGTTGGATTTCAATTTCGGCCATTGGATCATTCTTTTGTAAAACGGTGTCAAAACCATCACAGCCGGCAGATCTACCATTTTTTTTAAATTCCAGCCATTGTGGGCGCGCGATGACATCGGCCCGACGTCACCCTGACAGAAATCCCTTTGTGCACTGCGGGCCACTTCCCTTTTTCCCTTTGCGCACCGCGGGCCACACCCGCCCCACTTCCCCTTTTCTTTTCTTTTTCATTTTGTTTCCCGATGTCAACCCACCCTTCATATTTACCCTACTCCACCCCCTTTCCCACTTTTAATACCCATTTAGCCTACTACTACATGAAGTATATATTAATATATTTTTGAAAATACCATACTTACTATAGAAGATCATTTTAGTTGCTTTTTCATATAATCTTTTCTTTATTTTATTAATAAAATATATTTTAAATATAATTTTTTCATAAATCAGCGTAATAAGCCAATCTAACCACTTAAGCAGAACCTTATAAATTTCAGCAGAATCAGCCGATATAGCCGATTTAGGTATTACCAATTGGGCAAATGGGCTCTTGATATGACTATTTTGGCCGAGTTCTAATTTTAAATCCCGATGAATATTTGCAAAATTAGGATCTGATGCTTTGAAATTGTTGCTTCTTATACCCATTTTTTCATGGAAAATGATGAACTTTAGAAGTTTATTTTCACTATCTAATATTCGAAAGGTGAAATAACGAAACCCTAGAAGATAAGGCGGTGACCCTACAACTGTTAGAACATATTTTATTGTGTTCAATTTAATTAGATTTATCTTTGTCTATTAGATTTAATTAGTGGGCTATTAAATTAATTAGGTGCCATTTAATTAGATTAATCCGGCCCATCCTATTGTAACTAAGATGTTCGGCCATATGCCTATAAATAAAGGAAGTATGGACCGAACAGCCTAAGAGTTCCCAATTCCTAATAGCCTCACACATCATTCTTGGAACTCTTACGTTAGATTAGAAGAGAGAAATACTCTACATAATTTATTCCGCACCTATTATTCTCGTAAAGCACCTCTAGCTTTCTATCTCAACAATTCATATGTGTATTAAGTTTATATTGCTATATCATTATGAATATACGGTATTGATTGTTGATGAATTCTTCTTCTTCTACTCAATTTCTTCATATCATTGCATATTAGTTAATCGACTGTTGATCTGGGATCTCCCACAACAACCCCTCTCTTCTCCGCCCCGTTTCGACGCAGCTGAAAGAGCACGGAGGACACATCAAAGCAAGTAGCGGATTCCATGTTTTATTTTAGGTGACATAAGCTCTCGAAGGTTCTTGGTAGGGGTATGATCCAAATGGATTGATCTTCATTTCTTATTAATGTCTGTTCTGTGCTATGGCCGTTCTTTGTTGGGCACTGACACTTCGGATTGTTTTGTATCCCTTATGTGGGAAGTTGTTTTGGTGCCCCGACCAGCTTTCCGGTGCTAGTCAGAGGTTACGGTCTACATTCTTTAGGGTTGTGTAAAATATGATACAACTCGTCCTCCTCCAGAACCACCTCAATGCCATGGAAAGTTTTGCGAAAAGGCTTTATTTCAATTTTATTTTTTTTCTTTAGTAGTACTTATTTTTATTTTACTTCCAATAGATTTGGTTTGGATATTTGGATTTTAAGATTAGCGTACTTTTGATAGGCAATGTTTCAGTTTTGATTATTTTAGGCTTAAATTTGCCCGTTTTGTATGAGATAGTTGATAATATGTGTATTTCTATGGCTTACGATCCAAATAGATGGCTCTCTCATAACTATCTCATAACTGTCTGGAGATTTTCTTGTATGATTTCTCGAAATTGATATAAAAATTCGCTCTTTTATCTTAAAAAAATCAAAAGGATGATTCTCACTAGTAGGACCGAGCATAATCCGGTCCAAATAAGAAAATTCGACCGATTTGGACCGGGTTAGTCCAGACAAGACTCGGACCGGTTACATATCGGTCTGGTCTTTGATCTAAGGATTTATCATATTCTAGTTCCGATCATGTCCAAAACCCGTAATATTCCAGCCCGGACCAGTTAGATCAGAATTTAAGTTTTATATATTACAAATATATTGATTTATGCATAAACTTACACACACACACACACTCGCGCGCACACACACCTACATATAAATGATAACATGATTTAGGCATTATCTCAATTTGCAAACTCTTTATTTAATATTATAAAGGGAAAATATAATAAAAATATCCCAAACTTTGAAGAGGTGTGAGGTAAACATCCCAAACTTGCATATGTAATTTAAATACCCCAAACTTTATATAAAAAGTTAATATTGCACTATTCTCATGTATTATTTCTTTCAAAAATATAAATTTATGGGGTTAATTGCATAATTTAAAATAGCAAATTAAAAGTGTTGCAATTATATAGATTTGGGAGTAACATTATTTATTTTGCAATGGAAGTCTAGAGTGTTAATTGTGTCTTCATGAATTCTAAAATATTTTAAATTATACAATTAACACAATAAATTTATATTTTTGAAAGAAATAATACTTGCATATGGTGCTACATTATTTTTTATATAAAAATTGGGATGTTTTAATTACATATGCAAGTTTGGGGTGTTCTTCTCACACCCCTTCAAAGTTTGGAATATTTTAATTACTTTTTCCAAATATAAAATATTTCTAATAATTCTTAATCACAATTTGAATAATATGAAATTCCATAGATAACTTTAATTAATGTTTCATTAGCTTTAGTTTGAGTGACATTAACTTACGGACTATACTTGGGTGATATTCTATTTAGAGGAAAATCAAACTTTTATTATACTTGAGTTACAAGGAGCCAATAACTCAAATTCAATCATTTATCTTCCAAAAAGAACCAAGTAAAGTCAATAAAAACTCTATGCATGTCAGACTTTGAGATGGTCACCTCCAGAGAAGTATCGCAAATCGCTGATCACCACACGGGCAACATAAAATTCATACAAAATCTTAAGGTCGTCGTACTCTTTACCACTTCAATAACCTCATAATAGCCAAAAGGCCCCCTTAGTGCTAGACCAGACATACAAAAGTGCACCCAAAATTGCGCAGATTTTTTTGCTGAACATATGAAGTCTTCGAGGTAACTAAATAGCTTATACATCTCAAGACTGCCACTAACAATAATAATCTCAAAATAAGGTAAAAATTCAATATAATTTGAAGCAAAAATAGAGCAAGAAAATGCAGTTGGCCAAACTTTAGTCACACGTTAATTTCATGGAGGTGATTTAGGAGGGGACGGGCCATTAACACTTTATCTTCTTCCTCCAATTCTAAACAATCATAGATCTGGTCTAAAATATCAAACTCGTCTTGCTCCTTGACTGTGTTGTTCCCCGCCATGCTTCGCCCTTCTTGCCAACCAATATAGCCTCATGTTGCTTCATCTGAAAATTGGTTTTTCCTCCTCTATGCCACAATAAACTCGCCGCCTCAAAAACCCTAGCACTCATCTGAAACAAAACGCTGGACACAAGATAACCTTCGCCAGAAAAATCAACCCTAGAAAATCTCAGGGAGTCGTCCGCTTTTCTTTAGAGATATTGTACGAGCATTTAAAAATTCTTGTATCCCCTATTTCCGTAAATTATGGATTTTAATAATTTGATAAATGAATAATAATAAACATATTTAATTTATTATGAGATAATTAAATATTTAAATAAAAGTAGTAACACAAGTATCATCAAAGTAAATTAAAATACTTCCATTTTTAATGGAGGCATGTTCTCTAAGACTTGTGGTTTAAGTAGTAAGAGGAGTATATTTTAGAAATTTTGACCGTAAAAAAATAGTCAACTTAAAAGAAAAAAATAACTTCCTCAATAGTAAATTGGGGAACAATCCTTCGTTTATCTGGAGCAGCATTATACAGACTCGGGAGATGCTTGAGAAAGGAATAAGGCAAAAGGTAGGTAACGGACAGACCATCTCGGTCTGGCGTGAAGGCTGGCTTCCAAGACAGGGGTCAGGTACAATCAAGACCCCTGGCGGGAGTTGCTGATATGAATGTAGAGGCACTGCTCAATGAGCAGGGGGACCAATGGAACAGGGAGATCTGAAAGCTAGTGATGATTTGTATTCCTTATCGCAATTACCGGATGATCGTTACACAATTTGGCAAAGTTGTATAGTCAATGGTGTTAGATTTCGATGCAAGGAACGTGATGAAAAGTTCAAGACACAATGTAGCGGAGTTTGCACTGGAGATGATAATGGTGATACCATTTATTACGGTGTATTACTTGAAATTTTTGAACTTGATTTCATCCTTGGAAGGAATGTTTTTATCTTCCGTTGCAAGTGGTATAATACTGATCCAAAGGGGAGAACAATGGTGGTTAATTATAAACTGACATCTATTGACACATCATCCCAGTGGTACACCGAAGATCCATTTATTTTGGCCACACAAGCTCAACAAGTGTTTTATTCAGACGATAGAGCTTTAGGCAAGAATTGGATGGTTGTACAAAAAAAAATCTTCGTTGCATATATGATATACCAGAGCATGATGCTAATGTGGATGCTAGTGATGACATATTTCAAGAGGAAGATGCTAATGAGTTACCATCTATTCATCCAATAGAAGAAATTGATGACACACCTCTTTTAGTTCGACAAGATGTAGAGCCAATGGCATTACCGAATGAGGTTGTCCAACAAATGCGGGATCAAATGTCAATGCATATCCCAAATGAAGATTCTTTAGAAGATGTTGAAGATTATGACCCTGACGATGGAGAGCCTTTCTTTCACAATGAAATGATATTAGAGTCGGAGACTGACAAAGACTCTGATGCATTAGAACTAAATATCAGTGACGATGACTCCATGGCATGACATAAATTTCATCTTAGGTTATTTTTGTTTGAACTTATTCATATGTATATATCATAGTTTCACTGTGGCGTGATTTTAATTCTTTGTTGAATCTTTGTTGCAGGTTTCCCATGGCTAGTTCTAAAAGAGGTGGATATGGTGCACAAGTTGGATGTAGTAGGATAACTGTTGAAGATCAACATCCTACTGAAGAGATTCGAGCATGTTAAGTAAATCAGTGTTTCTATTAATTAATAACATTTGTTATTTATCTCTCATGAGTTAATTTTCAAAATATATAGTTCATTCCCTAAGAGACACTCAAGTTTCAACAAGAGGTGGGTGTAGGAGGAATCCAATAGGACATAGATCTGCATCAGAAGAGTTTCAAACGGGTCAGTTATATCAATAACTATCAACTGTACATTTACTCTCTTGGATTATTTAAAAAGATAATTTCTTTTGGTTGCATGATTTAGAATAGCAAGATTACTGTAGCTGCCTCAAAGTAATTATCTCCAACATCAAAAAAATTTATATCAATACTTTATTTTAATAATTTAATGTTCCTTATAATGTAATTAAATAGCTCATTCTCTAAGAGACGCTCGAGTTTCAACAAGAGGTGGAAGTAGCTGTAATCCAATTGCACATGATTCTGCAAGAGAAGGGATTCAAGCAGGTTAAATTAGTTATATCAATAAATGGAAATTATTCATTTGTTAAGTAAATATTGCACTTATTAATTAAGAGCATTTGTTATATATCTTCTAGAAGTTAATTCTCGAAGTTTTATACTTATATAAAAAATCTAGCATTTTGGTTTAGAATTGTTTTATCTCTAACATAAAAAATGTTTTTATCAATCCTTTATTTTAATATTTGAATATTCCTTATAATGTAATTAAATAGCTCATTCTCTAAGAGACACTCGAGTTTCAATGAGAGGTGGACGTAGCAGTATTCCAATTACACATGAACCCGCAAGAGAAGAGATTCAAGCAGGTTAAATTAGTTATATCAATAATTAGCAATTATTCGTTTACTCTTTGTCTTTGGTATTATATGTATATATTTGTGTGTCCTTTACTAGTGCTTTGTAGAAGTCTAAAAATAAACATGTTTTGCTGTCCATCTCTTAACTTTAAACTATAGGCAGTTAGACAAATTGAACACTTCTTTCATATAGGTCACCACGTCATTAACTCATTTTTTTCAGTTTGTAGCGTATCAGAATGTTTAATGGTAATACGAGTTTAGTTATATAATCACACTGTCGTGCAGTTCAGTGAATGAACCTTGTTTATAGTTAAGAAAATAGTAATCGGTAATCTGAATTTTCATTGTTAATAGTTATGAGATTGCATGTGATACAACTTAATAGCATATAATTTTTGGTAAACCAGTTGTGTTACAAACAATAAATCTCAAAGGCTTTTTAATTTTCCCAATGAAGAACTCAAGTTACGAAAAGAAAATTAAAAACTGAAATATTTCATGTCTTGAAAATAGAAACTGGATTTTTAAGGAAATATTTATGCAAAATAAAAAATAGAAAACTAAAGTTAATGGACTTTTGCCTTCTCCCAGACAAAAAACAAGACTTTAGATTGTCAGATTGTAATTTAAATTCTAATATAATTTAATTTACAGACCAAACTCAAAGCGGCACTCAAGTTTCATCTGCCGATAATGAATCCGCAGAACAAGGTTCAAATGTGCATGGAATAACATGCAGTAAAGATGCCCGGAAAGCAATGAGGAGTGCTAAATCACGATTGACGGTAAAGTTTGACTTTGACCTTATGCAAGCAATATGTGACAACACAGAGGTTTTCAATAATGAAGTTGGATATATCCTGCGTACGTATTGCGACCTTAAGTACAAAGAATGGGGGTTTGTACCTGAAGAAGAAAGAGCACCACTTCGTGACAAACTTCGAGTAAGTATACATGAAGACTCACACTACAAACTTCTTGTAGTTTGATGATTATTATTCAAATAGCGTAGGATGTGAAGCATAGGATCACATAAAATATTCTCCCTCCTCCATAGATTCCAAAATAAGGTTATTTGATTTATATTAATTCTAAATCATCACATTATACCTCTACTATCAGCATCTTCCACTCTAAGTTTCATATAACCATTAATCATACTTATTATTCTCTTTGTTATGCAGACATTATTTGATGTTGATTTGGAAGATGCAAATGTCAGAAAAGCTATTGATAAACAAATGCAAAGAGCTTGATATAATTATAGACGTACGTCACGTGAACATTTTAAAACAGTTGGAGGTGCAAGTGATCTAATGAAGGCAAAGAGTAAGCCTTATGAGGGTGTTAGCGAATCGGATTGGGAATATATATGTAATTGTTGGAGCGACCCTTCATATCTGGTAAGATGTTTTATACCTAAAGATATGCTGGCGTTAATGAATTTTAATTTTTTTTGAACAAAGTATATTTAAGTCTTAAATCTTACTGTAGTAGTAAACGTAGTGAATAGGAGTTTCTTTGCTATAGCATGTCTGGTAGTCTATTTTGAGAAAAACAGCAGGATGCATCACTTATACATTATTGTCGATATTTATAATAATTACTTGTGTTTATTTCACAGCAAAAAGCTTTGAAGAATGCTGAGTCATGTAAGATAAGAAAATGGATTTCTAGAAACAGATCTAAGAGTACAGCACGCCATCACATTAGTCGTGGGGTTGAGTTAAATGCTTCTGTTGGTCATATTGAGACGTGGCGTCTCCGTTATTGGCATCCAGAACGTGGTTGGGTATCTGTAGAAGCTGAATCTAAATATGTAAGTGTACTTCACAGACTGTGTGTGTTAACCATGACATCTTTTATTCAAATTAACTAGTTTTACATTATTGACATATATACATGCATGTTTTGATGTTCACAGTTTACCTGATTAATGAATTGTTATTATTCCATTCATAATTTAACAGGAAGAAATGATGGAATTGAGAAGAGAAAAATCACCTGAAGATTTAACTGATAAACAAATATTAGAGAAGGTGCTTGGACGAGAATCTGTTCGTCTATTTGGTTGGGGACGGTCTCCCACTGGGTCCAAAAGAAGCAAAGGTGATTCAAATATTCCAATTTATACTCAATTGATGGATCGTGTTGGAGAGCTTTTCAGGCACTGTTGAAATAATGAAAAAGTTGTTGATTGAGAAGAATATGATGCCTCCCATGTCACATGTTCCTTCAGATCATTGTTCAGGACCGCTTAATCGTGGGTCATCCTCTATTGATCGAGGCCAGCATGTTGACGGTTATGAGGACTCCACTTCTGAATATGATGATATTGTTTAGAAGCAAAATTCATATTACACTTAATACTTTGTAGCGTGGCACCAGCTAGTTAATGTTTTATTTTGTTTGGCAGTTTTTGAATAGCTAATACTTTGCTGAAATTGAATATTTTAGTTTGAACTATAACATTTATCATTATTATTTATTATTCATTCCCGTGTTCCTATTACAAAATGTAATTGTTTGATATGTGTATTTAAGAAATAAATATAATATTTAATGAAATAGTTCTACCAATACATAAATATTAATTGCTACACTTTGTATAGAAGTTTTTCACACAAATAAATATACTTTTATCTACAAAACAAGTTTTATTACCCACTTTTAAAATACAATTTACCCACACATACACATGACTTTTACCCACACATCTTTATGTACACGTGGCAACGGCTAAGAGTCATCAGTTATGCCACATCATCATACACGTCACACCTGAATTGCCACGTCACAAGCCACGTCAGCAGCCAAGTGTACTTCCACGTCATATGCCATGTCACGGGTTCTTTGCTGAAATGACCAACAACAACACATTTAGAAGTGTTTTAGCCACGCATACATGTGTAGCTATAAATAATAATATTACCCACACATAATTGGAAGTGTAGCTAATAATATTTGTGTACGTTTCCATACCCACACATCGTAACACTTATAATATGTGTGGGTAAAGATTATTACCTACACATATCTACTGTTTTACCAACACATACGAGTGTGAGTAAATAACCTATTTTCTTGTAGTGCGATGATTAATGCTATTTTCTCAATGAGGATAGAAGTGCTATTATGTCTATTTCTATAAGCAGCAGGAGAATTTCGGATGGGATTTGGTGGAATGAGGATAGAAGAGGAATCTATACAGTAAAAAGTGCTTATAGATTCCTACGTGGCAAATGTACGGGTCAGGGGTGGCTGGGATGGACTAAAATGTGGAAATTAAAAATCCCACAATAAATGAAATGCTTTGTTTGGCAAGTGACGACAGGATGCTTGCTCACTGCGAATAATCTATGTTGTAGGAGAGTTGAGATGGAAAGAGTTTGTAGTATCTGCGAGGAGGAGGATGAATCAAAAGAGCACATAATTTATGTTGTGTAAAATAGCGACAATGGTGTAAATGAAGTTGGGAACCCGCTTTGTCTGATAAGGGCATGTTTTTATTGTCTGGATTAAAATGTTTTTTGATAATTTACAGGATGAAGAGTTATGTACATTCATTGCTAGTCTATGGAGTCTAGGGAATGTCCGTAATGATAAAGTTTGGAAAAACCAAGACATGGACAGGCGTCAGTGTCTGGAAATTGGAGCAGTAGTCCTATGCGGGTGGATGACGACTTAGGTTGTGGTCGGGAGCACGAGTAAAGTGGCAAGACAGGTGACTGGATGGAAAAAACCAGCGGCAGGACGCAGACACAATGAAAATTAATGTGGATGCAGTTCTGGATTCGCAAAACAGCAGACGGGCATGGGCATGGGTGACCAGGGATGCACAAGGTAGCTTTATAGGAAGCGGTTGGAACGTGGAAGGAGCGAGCTGGTCAGCGGAGATCATGAGGCACTGGCTTGGGCAAAAACACAGAGCTGGGGAAGGATAGAACCGGAGACCTCTTGTAGTTGCATCTGGACTGGAAAAGTGAGATGTGGATTCTTATTTGCACACATTTTAGAAGATATAAGACTCAGTATTCGTAATAAAGCTAGGATAGAAGTAATTCATGATAGAAGATTCGTGAATGTAGTAGCTCATAAGCTAGCTAGGCTTGCTCTCTCTATACCGGATTGGTTTAATTAATGATATGCTTTTCCTTTCAAAAAAATGAAAACTATTACACCAAGGGCGTTAGTTAATTTTGTTCTTTTTTTGATGAGGCCTAAACTCATTGCCTCTATTATCCACTTATCCTTGGCCCACCATTTAAGCAGACCTTGGTGTTGGGCCCCAAAATCTTAAACTCGCTAAAGTGCGCCCTTCTGAAGCCCTAAATCACCAAATCAACGGGGAAACTTATGTCATGTTTACGAGGCAGATGTTGAACAAAACAAAAATATGCCTTTCATTATTTGTTGAACAAATAAGAGGAATCCACGATTTGACATTGATAAGTTAATCGATTTATTGGTATTGAAGTGCTGAAAATTTTGAAGTGATGAATAAAGTAGTTGAATTAGAGGATTTGATTATTGAAAAATTATATTTAAAATATTTTTTATTAATAAATGAAAGAAAAAAGTATATGAACAACAACTAAAATGATCATCTAGAATAACTTCAGTCAAGTCAATGCAGAAAAGTAACTCTAATGTTACTTATTTTGATTATTACCATTCAACAACAACACAACAACATCCAAGCCTTAGTCCCAAAAGATATTGGGGTCGGCTAACATGAATCGATACATGATATCACAACCAAAAGGAAAAGAAGGAATAAAGATAAAAAGATAAGCTATTATGAAAAGATAATATAAAAAAGATGAATATATATAAAAAAGATACAATAAAAAGGCTGCAAATAATGCATATATATATATATATATATCTAACGATAAAAAAAACTAGGAAAAAAAAGATGAGGGAAAAAGATTATCAAGATCACTCCTTCACGTGAATACCCACCCTCCACTTAGTTCTCTCCAAAGTCATGCCCTCATCCAACCCCAGAAGAAGCATATCACTTCGAACTCCCCTAACCCACGTCTGTTTGGGTCTTCCTCTCCCTCTCTTCCCCGCCTCTTCTCCACACATCTCAACTCGCCTAACAGGTGCATCACTCGGTCTTCTACGCACATGACCGAACCACCGTAGGCGCGACTCCCGCATCTTGTCATCAATAGGTGCTACTCCCACCCTTTGTCTGATTGTCTCATTCCTCATGCGGTCCTTCCTAGTATGCCCACACATCCAACGCAGCATGTGCATCTCTGCCACACTCATCTTTTGAATGTGACATTGTTTCACCACCCAACACTCTACGCCATACAGTAATGCAGGCCTAATTGCTGTCCTATAAAATTTACCCTTCAGTCTAGTCGGCATACCTCGGTCGCATAGAAATCCTGACGCACTCTTCCACTTCATCCACCCTGTTCAGATTCTATGGGATACATCTCCATCTAACTCACCGTCCTTCTGAATTATGGAGCCCAAGTAACGTAACATATCGCTGACTGGTATCTCCTTACCATCCAGAGTAATTCCGTTATTACCACTACTTCTACCTCCACCAAACTTGCACTCCATGTACTCTGTCTTGCTCCGACTTAGATTGAAACCCTTATTCTCCAATGTTTGTCGCCATACTTCCAACTTTGCTTTAAGACCTGATTGCATCTCATCAATCAATACAATATCGTCGGCAAACATCATGCACCACGGTATATCGTCTTGAATTGACTTCGTAGTTCATCCATGACTATGGCAAATAAGAAAGGACTCAAGGCCGATCCTTGGTGCACTCCGATAGTAATAGGGAACTCTTCAGTCCTCCCTACACTAGTACGAACACTTGTAGTACAATCCTCATACATATCCATGATGATGCTGATATACTTGCGTGATATGCCTTTCCTAGTTAAGGCCCACCAAAGAACTTCTCGAGGTACCCTATCATATGCCTTTTCTAAGTCAATGAACACCAAATGCAGATCCTTATGAGCATCTCTATACTTCTCCATAAGTTGACGAAGAAGGTGAATAGCCTCAGTTGTTGAGCGACCAGGCATAAAACTGAATTGATTCTCTGAAATCTTCACAGTCCTTCGAAGTCTTTGCTCAATCACTCGCTCCCAAAGTTTCATGGTGTGACTCATAAGCTTAATCCCTCGATAGTTGGCACATTCTTGTACATCACCTTTATTCTTAAATAAAGGGATAAGAGTACTCTTCCTCCAACTCGTTGGCATCTTGTTGTTTCTCCAAATCATGTTGAAGAAACTTGTTAACCACTCGACGCCTCTCTCTCCCAAACTTCTCCAAGCCTCGATCGGTATGCCATCTGGCCCCATTGCTCTTTTCCGTCCCATCTTCCTCAGAGCTTCTTTAACTTCCGTTGTTTGGATCCTTCTCACAAAATCACGGTTAACCATACAATCTGGTATGGACAAATCGCCGATATCTTGCGTTTTGTTCCCGTTGAATAGTGTATCAAAGTATGACCTCCACCTCTCTTTTATCTCTCCGTCGTCCATTAATATCCTCTGATCAACATCCTTCACACACTTAACTTTTGCAATATCTTGAGTTCTGCGATCACGAAGACGAGCAAGTCTATAAATATCTAGTTCTCCTTCCTTAGAGTCCAACTTTTCATACAACTCCTTGTTCACTTTCCCTCGTGCTTCCCTTACGGCTTTCTTTGCTTGTCTTTTAGCCTCCCTGTATGCTTCTATGTTCTCATCACTCCAATTTGTCCCCAACTTTTTGTAGCAATCTCTTTTGTTCCTTATGGCTTGTTTCACCTCATCATTCCACCAAGATGTGTCCTTTTTAGGTGGCCGACATCCTTTAGATTCTCCAAGTACCTCCTTTGCCATTTTGTTAATGGTCAACTCCATTGATAACCACACATCATCCACCTGTGTTTCATTATCAATACGCCATACATCTTCACCGACCATTTTGTGTGTAAAGCTTTGTTGAAGATCTCCCTCTAGCCTCCACCACTTTATCTTTGGCTCCACTTGTTGTTTAACTTGTCTTCTATGGTTCTTACCTCGAAAGTCAAGCACAAGCATCCTATGCTGAGTGACAACACTCTCACCTGGAATAACCTTACAATCAGTGTAGCTAGTTCTCCCAGTGGTCCGTACTAAGAAGTAGTCAATTTGGGTACTATTAGCTCCACTTTTATAGGTTACAAGGTGAGAGTCTCTTTTCTTAAACCAAGTGTTCATTATAGCCAACTCATATGTTAAGGCAAAATCCAAAATGTTCTTTCCCGCCTCATTCCTAGTGCCAAAACCATGTCCGCCATGAATTTTCTCAAAACCATCACGACTCGAGCCCACATGCCCGTTGAGGTCACCTCCTATGATCAACTTCTCTCCCCTTGGCACTCGTCGCACCACGTCTTCAAGATTTTCCCAGAACTGTTGAGTTCTAGATGCATCCAATCCCACTTGTGGTGCATAGGCACTTACCACAGACATAATCTCACCTCTTATCACCAATTTAATGCTCATGATGCGATCGTTCTTCCTGAAGACTTCTACCACATCCTCAACATAGTCACGCGCCACAATAATGCCTACCCCATTTCTAGTCTTATCTCTCCCCGAATACCACAACTTAAAACCTCCGGGATTAATCTCGCGTGCTTTCTGTCCAACCCATTTAGTTTCTTGCACACACATAATGTTGATATTCCTTCTGCTCATAACCTCAACTACCTCGGAAGATTTCCCCGTAAGAGACCCAACATTCCATGTCCCAAAATGCAATCTAGCATTCCACCTTCTGTTCTTAGCCCCATCTCGGACCCCACCATGCCCTTGCATATTTGACATCATCCCCGGGCAATGGGATGACGCGCCGCTTCTGGGCGGCGACCTAGCAACCTTAGCATTCTTATCACCACACCCAGGTCTATCAAGTGTAGCGCGCCCTTGCATATTTGACACCACCCCCAGGTGGAGGGATGACGCGTCACTTACGGGTGACGACCTAGCATTAGCGATTTTCATATTTCGATTCATGTCATGTGATGTGACTAGGTGATACTATTGGCCGTCACACGCCTACCACAGCACCCTCCTCCTTTATCCTGGCTTGGGACAGATATGATACCAAAAAATGATACCAAAAAAGAGAGGGAGAGGAAGACCCAAACAGACGTGGGTTAGGGGAGTTCGAAGTGATATGCTTCTTCTGGGGTTGGATGAGGGCATGACTTTGGAGAGAACTAAGTGGAGGGCGGGTATTCACGTGAAGGAGTGATCTTGATAATCTTTTTCCCTCATCTTTTTTTTTCCTAGTTTTTTTTATCGTTATATATATATATATATATATATATATATATATATATATATATATATATATATATATATATGCATTATTTGTTACCATTCAACGCGCGGAATTAAAAATTACGTATTAGATGAAAAAGTTAGTTGATAAGCTGAAAAAAAGGATCACCAAATTGGCTCTTGGCATCTTGTTTTAGGTAGTGGGGTCAACATATATTTATGAGCTACTAATTGTACAGTACTCTGTACAATACTGAAGGTTGGAGATGGAGGCGAATCAGGAACAGTTCGAGACGGAGTAATTGCCTAAGCTTACGGCAACATGGAGATGGATGATGAAGACAATGCTATTTTGGTGAAGGCCACATCATCAGTTGTGGTGGATGGAAGCCTTACTCTCATTGGGACCATCACTTCGAAGAAGTCGGCTTGATTCACTTCTTTTCGTGATACTATGACGTTCGTTTAGAGACCGATTAAAGCACAAAGTTCGGGCGGTGATGAAGAAGCAGTCACAATGGTCCTGATGGCCCGCCTCTTCGTGAACCACCACCATGGAATGAACGAATTGGAGTTTTGAATGTTCGAGGAAGACCTCATTTAGAAGGAATTAAGAATAAAGGAGCTTGGCAAATAGTAGCAAGCTCGTTTAACTTGCATTTTAATATTGTCATTTTTCAGCTTGTTTTTTATTTTGGAACCTTAGTTGTCTGCAGGGGCGTACATAGGAGGTGGCCAAGTTAGGCCCTGGCCCATCCTAAATTTTAAAAATATCTATAATTTTAGTGGAAAAAATTATGCGTAAAATTTTTTCCAAACAAAATCTTTGTATCGGCTCAGTCTGGCAGAGTGCACTGGCTCCGCCCCTGGATGTCTGGGTGTGTTATGCTTATGAGGTATGTACATATTTTTTGCGAAGAAGTAGCATGGCTTCAATAGTTGAGATAATCTTCTAATCTCTTGGATTGGTAGCGACTCGATCCGCTCTAGTTAGGATGATCGTTTCCATGTCTAATTAGAGGGTAGGGGAGTTTCGGGTTATGATGAGTTTGGTAGCAGGAGACTGTTCAGTATTAGAAATTTTGTAATGTCATTGATTCAGTATTAGAAATTTTGTAATGTCATTGGTTTTTGGATTCTAATACAATCAATCAGTTTCCTTTCAAAAAATTGAAAGCGTTTATAAAATAAAAATAATTGTTACATCCATACAAAAAATGATCACAATAACATTTAATGTTACGTAAGGTCAGTCTCAATTGATAGATAGATCCAATGCTAAAAGTAATAAGCTCTTATTCAATTCTTGACAACTATGTATAATACTCCCTCCGTCCTATTTTACTTAGTCGATCTTGACTTTTCAAGTCAATGTAGTCTAACTTTGACTGATTATATGTTTATATAGAGAAAGTATTAATAATATGAAAATGATATGAAAATGTTCTTTGTTAAAAATACTATCATAAAAGTATAAAATTATTAAATTTTACATAAATATATTAATTTAAATAATTGATCAAAGTTTACCATCTTTGATCGGAAAAGTCAAAGTTGGCCAGATAAATTGGGGCGGAGGGAGTACAACATTGTCGTTAGTAAATAAAAGTCGTCCATTATGAGGTCCATTTTTTCTCGAGAAAATAAGAGAAACTTGTATGGGTTCAAAAGAAAATAGAAAAATCTCTCAGGAACAGCTAGTATTATCATTAATATTCTTTCAGAAGGAATAATATCTAATGAAAACCGTACAGCTCATCAAATTAAGTTGCAAAGAGTCTTGCAAAAGAATATTTTGTAATGTTTTGTCCATTCACAAGTAACAAATGGTGCGACAATTAATTAGCATTTACATTTCAACATGAAAAGCGTGTATTACCTGCTCTAAAGGGCTCTTAAACTAATCCCTTTGAAATAAATAGTTTAGAAATAAAGAAAATAGAAATTTGAAACAAATAGAATAAGCTTAAGGTATTAGTTTTAGGAGAGATAAAGGAGAAATTCGTGAGATTTTAGAATAACTTGTTTTTTCTTTTATTCCCATCTATAATAAGTAAAGAATAAAAAATTGACGGGGTCATGATTTAAGAGGATAATATGAATTTAATTAGACTGTTGTTTCACTCTCGTATTAGGCCGGACTTAGAATATTGTAAAATAACAAATACTACGTATCTATCTAAATAATCTAATCAAATCAGATCAGACTAGAAATTAAAGCCCAATTAAAAACAAGCCTGAGCCAAACATGACTTACAAATGAGAATCTCTTCAATTCAATCCCTCACCATATATGTAGTATATTTAAATAAACGTTCTTCATAATCATCATTATCAGTACAGATTACCAACAAGACACACATTAATATATATGTCTGTATCTTTTGTGCCTTTAGCTCTATTAGTTAATTATACTGATAATAATATTATTAGTATAATTAAGCCTTCTCTGCTGTATCCATCTGTAATCTGATCTGTGTGGATTGTGGGGTGTCCAGACAGCCATGTTTGGTGGTTTTGGTTGTATACTAGCCAAAGTGCTAATTCTGCTCCTCTTCTCCTTCAACCATGGATTAGTGCAGGTCAAGAACCCCAAAGTGGGAGCCTCCAAGAGCTGTGATCTGTTCCAAGGAAGTTGGGTTTTGGATGAACATTCTGATCTTAATCCCTACAATTCATCACTGTGCTCCTTCATAGAGAAGCAGTTTGATTGTGAGAAGAATGGAAGAACTGATGATAACTATCTCAAGTATAGATGGCAGCCTAAGCACTGCACTCTTCCCAGGTTTAATTTCAAACTACAATTCATTCTTCAAGCTTATTCTTGCCTTTTTTCATATGTTTCTAAGTCATCTCCTACTGTCCAATAATTTATTTAATTCAAATTATTTTTATCTCTTTTGTAGTTCTAAACACAAAACACTACCTCCATCCGAAAAAAGATCTCACATTCCTTTTATGAAAATAAAAAGAAAAGTTTCAATTTCTATAAAGAGAAAACCATTTTTAATCAAAAAGTCATGTAAATACTTACTTTTACCCACTTTTTGCTTGACTTGATATAAAACAAGGAATACTTAAAAGTTGAAACAAAACTCTATCTTACATAAATACTAGCATGTTGTAGGTCAAATCGAAAACTTCATTTCGAAATGGAGAGAGTAGATTCCAAATTTTTATATAAAAATTGTATCAGGTCAAAAGTGAATGCAATATGTACACATCATCTTACACGCCGGTCAAATTGTCTGTGTACCAACAATTTGACTGGCATTTTTGAAGAAAACCGTTTTTCGCAGATAAAAAAATTGTTGTACACAAACAATTTGACAGACGTGCAAAATGACGTGTACGATTAGCATTAGTGTTTAAAGTATGTGGTTCTGATTCAATTTGTAGAGTGTGAATGAACTTTTTTTTGACAGTACAGTATGAATGAACTTGAAGCATAGATATATTGTTCAATATTATATGATTCAAAATTAATGGGCGAATAAAAATAAGATATAATAAAGATAATGAAGGGGATATATGGTGTGATAAATTTGTATCACCTTTTTGAGCTGTCACATTAAATTCATATTTTTCTCTTCGATTGCTCTAATATAGAGTAATTTAAAGATAATTTAAACATGTAAATAAATAATCTCTTTGAGCATGTAATTAAACATGTTTACGAGTGGAGATTGTCTAGTGAATTATAGCACACACTAAATATTCTTCCTTGTTGACATTTGGAAATCGAAAAGTATTGAATTAAAAATAGGAAAATGCTTAACGTACATGAGTGGTACACAAACTGTACACAAAACCCTCTTAATTGCCTGTGTACACAGACAATTCATTTAGAAAAGGGTAGAATTTAATACCCAATTACCTGTGTATACATGCAATGTACACATTTTGTGTATATCTTGTGTACACCAAACATGGTTGTTAAAAATATCAAATAGGTGGAGTTAAGAAATGTCCTTATTCGATGTTACTCAAACCCACACGATTGGGCTAACTCAAGAAGTCTTTTAATAGTCTACTAACATGTCTGTCGGGTACTAAGAAATTCTCTTATTGCAAATTAGCTAAATGTTAATCAATGAGTGTCGGTTCTATAGATTTCTTTTTAAGGAGTGCATGGTAAAGCTTTAAAAAAGCGTTTTTAGCTTTTTGCTTAAAAAAGTTGAAAAGAGTGTTTTTAAATGACAAAGTTAAAAGCTCGAAGTAGATGGAATGATGCTTTAAACTGCTTTTGATTTTTCTATTACACAAAACACTTATTTTATCAAATACTACTACTCCCTCCGTCCCATTTTAAGGTTCCCGTAGTAAAATGGCAGAATTATTAAGACAATAATTAAATATGCTAATTCGTGTATATTTTGAGAAATAATTTTGATGACTATATAATATAATGGGTTATTGATGATAACTGTGATTTTATAAATATTTTTTTTATAGTATTTGATGATTAAATTATCATTTAAGAGTGTTAATTGTTTCCTAAAATAGAAAGTGAGAACTTTTAAGTGGCACGTCCAAAAAAGGAAAGTGAGAACCTTTAAATGGGACGGATGGAGTAACTTTTATTTTTTCAAAATCACTATTTTCTCAAACACTATCAACTTTTACTATAATTAATTTCTCCAAAATCACTTAAAAAAATCACTTTTTTACGGAAAAGAATCGCAAACACTCCCTTACTGTTTTGATTTTCTAGTGGATAATTGTGGCCCCTTTAAATCTTTCATCACGGTGTTCTGTTAACAAGTACTCCGTATATCATAAATGTGTGCGCTATGATCGTTTCAGATTGCACATTTGTACTTCATTAGATGCAATACCAGAATAAGAGCCTCTTTGGTAACACTAAAATTGACTGAATTGGTTGATTCTGTTGAAATTTATGAAGTTCTGGCTGAAGTGATTGTATTGGCTGATTCTGCTGATTCATGAAGAAATTATATTTAAAATATTTGTTATCAGTAAATTAAATAAATAATTATATGAAAAAATATCTAAAATGATTATCTACAGTAACTTCAGCCAAAACAGCCAGAAAAGTAACTTCAACCTTACTTTTTCTGCTTATTACAAACTTCAGCGCACGAAATCAAAAATTACGTGTTTGGTGAAAAAGCTGCCTGATAAGCCTGATAAGCCAAAAAAGGGGTCTCCAAACGGGCTCTAAGATTAATTAGATTTCATCTTAAAAAATCAATATGAATAACCTTCGATGTATAGAAGACAAGAAGTTATGATTAGGAGACATTATACTCCTAATTCTAGTCTTCTACATATTGAATTGAAGGACCTTAGTTTATTGCTTTCATTCTTTTTGAATTGGATATTGGTCCCCATTCTCTTAGTTTTTACTCTCTCTCAATATATGTATAAGGAAATGTTAGTTGTACATGCTCGGTTACACGCGCAGCTTACAAGTCCAAGTGTAATTTTATGTGCACAGACAATTGATTTTAATTTTAGTAAAAGAAAGTATTTGTAATCTCGAATTGTCTGTGACTAGACAATTCATCGGTCATAGACATTTTCATGTAATATAATTAAAACTAATTGTCTGAGACGATTAGACTTGAGCGTGTAAGTCGACATATAACCGAGTGTGTACAAGTAGCATTTCTCATATCTATATTCATGAACTCATAGAGCACCCAAAAAAGAATAATTTATGTGGCATTTTTATACCATCAAACATTACATGACTTTAGGGTAATTTCCCTACGGACATATTGTGGGTTGTCGATCACTAGTTGAATAAGTCATAAAGGAATTGCTCAAAATAAGATTAAAACGTGAATACAATTCTAAAAAGTGACTAAATATGTTCTTGTCTTTCTAAAAATGAATTATTAACACTTACTTCAAAAAGAAACAAACAAGGAAAACGGTCAAATGCACAATATGTCCTAATATATCAAAAAGATCAATTGAGCCCTTACACTTTAACTTGAAACACTCAATTGATTGGTAAAATATACGGTACAGCTAGCTGTACATACCAATGGCATGGTACAATCGGCATTTTGTAATTTGTTTCAACTTCTAAGGTATTAGTAAGGTTAGTTGTTTATGTTGTCTAAGGAACATGGTCTGCCATTGCTCCTTCACTTGGTTGTTGCTTTACTTTGTTTTTCTTCTCTTTTTTCTTTTCTTTATAAAACATCTTCAATGCTCCTATTTCAAAAGGAAGTAAATTTTGCCAAATGTCAATAGAATAGAGTAATGTTAATCCACGTCATATACAAATCAAGAGAAAGAGATAAAAGCCTCCCAATGCATAATATTAACAACTCGAAACAACCACACGTCACTTATTACTAAATAAAAGTAGAACATATTTCATAAAAACTGTAAAAGAAATTGGAAGAATAGGATGAAACAAAACACGATTGGTCAAGCTATTAAATAAAATAGTTGTAGACAAATTCATGTACCACAATAATGCATAAAACAGAGAGAAAAACTGGTAAAAATAAAAAAATTATGTCAAGTAAAATATTCATAATAGAAAAATCTAAATTCAAATTATATGTATGTATATATAGAGGAATGATCTTGTCCAGCCGGAGGGACAAGAGACATCGCCCGACCGCCATCATTTGGGGTTGTTCCCGATGGAATATTTTGATGAAACTTTTTGAGTATGTTCCTTATCAAGTCTAGTTTTTCAAGATAACTGCGCCAAAATATACATATAAAACGCAGTTATTTTCAAAATTTTATTTGACTTTCTTTCTGATTGAATTTTTAGTTGAATTTTTTTTATGGATATAGACTTGATGAGAAACATTCTCAAAAAAATTTATGAAAAAATTCAACCGGAAACCGCCTAAACGGCGACGGCCGGACGACGCCTCCTATCCATCCGGATGGACACGATTTTTTCCTGTATATATTACTCGTATATATATTTGTATGCATTACGTGTATTTTTGGGAACCATTTTCTCTCCACTATGGGTATAACCGTATGATGCCGGCAAAATAGCAAATGTTAGTTCATTTTTGATGAGTCATCATGTTGAACATGCTTTCTAAAACTCGAAATTGGTTTTAATAGTGTCGATTCCACATAGACTTAACAGGTGCCACCAAAGAAGACATCGGAGATTAAAAAATCACACTTTCTAAATTCATATATGTGGCAAATTTCAGTTCGGTAAAAAATGAGGGTTGGACATCTACATCATCAAATGTAGAATTGAAATGGAAGTCTACCATCCGATGCAAAATAAAATGGGTGCATTGTGAACAGTGGCGGATCACTTCTATTCATGGGTGTTTATGTGAACACCCAAAAATTTTGAGAAAAATGGGAATATAGATATATATAATTAGTGTAATAATTTGTTTTAGTTTAGTTATGTAATATTTCATACTCTTAATTCAACTTATCAGTTTTTCAAGGGAAAAATGTAAGAAAATAAATTTTTGCATCAAACAATAGTCTTCCTCAAAATTTAGTGTAAGATAATTTTGAACACTCAAAATTTTAATGCTAAGTTCACCACAAATTATGGATGACATGACACTTCAAATCTCGAACAAAGTCCAGGACAAGGTCCATATTGAGACCTTGGGTCTCACCTTCTGACAAAGACAGCAAGGACTTTTGGCCTTCCATTTGCTCTATCCCTTCTTTAATTTGAATAGACCTTACTTTTCTCTAAATTTTTTGCCCATATTTGGAATGCGTCTTGCTCATTATTTTGCCATCTCAACTCCTTGGAGATGCTCATTACCTTGCTTTGACCTGCTCCCATCGCTTTTTCGTTGCTCGTTGCTTCTTTCATTTTCTTTATTTTACTTGTTGGTTGTTGCTTTTCTTTTCTTTATTTTTTTTAACAATATTTTACTTTAATTTTTATTCAATAATTACAAAAATGTATTATATAAATATTATTTAATGTTTGAGCTTTTTTTCTTTTTCCAATCAAGCTTCTAACTTAAGTTTTTTTTTGAGTTTCTGCATTATAAAATATTTCAAATGTTAATGCTTGTTTTTTCTGTTTTTAATTTTAAGATGAATATTTATTAGTTTATTAGGTATTGTGTGTTAACTACTGACATGAGTTTTGTGTTATACTAAAATGAGTATAGTTTCAAATAAATGTGCATGAGTAAATATTATAAAAATTAAACAACACGAATATATTTTTAACTCTAAATTATTTTTAATATAACATTTTTTGATTTTCATTATTGCATATAATGATAGTTTAATAAATTATTAATAACCAATCTACTAGATGTATATATTATAGAAAAGGGTTTATGTTAATTCAAATGAGTATAACGATTAAAAAAATGAGCACACACAATTTATTATTAGAACACATTATAGAATTCAAATGAGCTTTTGAATTTTTCGATGCTCATTTTGTAAGTTACGTATGCTTATTTGATACTGATGTTATGCTCATTTTAAAATGTCATATCAATGCATAATTCTAAAGTATCATATTACATTGGATTCACATATTGATATTCATAGGAGTTGATTATAGATATAATTAAAAAAAAATATAAAAAATAAAAATAAGAAAAAAAGAGTTAATTAGAAAATACGAAGTATGAATCAAAAATCATGATGCTCATGATTAGACTCGTGATACTCAAAAGAATATGTTTGATGCTAATTAAAAGTGCATCAATGCTAATTTAACAGAATACACGATTTTCACTTAAATAAGCAATGAACATTGATATATATATATAGCGTTTTAATATGAACACTACTACATAAAAAAATTAATGGACTATTGAAATGATTTTTTTATATACTAATATTAGTATAATGTTTAACATTAATGTAACATTACAAAAATAACAAAATAAAGTTTGTCTTGAATATAATAGGGAATCATGAAATTGTTGATGAATTTGTTATAATTTTTATAGATATATTTATTGATCATTTATTAAATAAGTTATTTGAAATTTGTAAATCAATTTGAGATGCTCTGTATAAATTAAGAATTATAAATATAAAAAAGGAAAAAAAGGAGCATTAAGAGAAAAGCATGAGCCGGTGAAGTAGCTAGGTAGCAGACGAAGAATAATACGAACTCATGGACAGCCAATACAAACTCAATAAGAACAAAGACGGCTGAGGAGAATAATTAAATTGAAATATCTGGCCATACAGCCGGGTGTACCATATATGAATTCCAATTGAATTGAGTCTTTCGGCTCTCAAACTCAATTGGCAGATAGCTCCTTTCTCGCTAGCAGATAGCTCCTTTCTCGCCTTGTCCTTGAATTAGCTGTGCGGATTAAGGGTGAACAAAAAAACCGAAACCGACCGACAAATCGACCGAAACCGAACCGACCAAAACCGAAACCGACTCAAACCAAAACCGACTCAAACCGACTATTCACTGACGGTTCGGTTTACGGTTTCACCTTTTGGGTTAAAAACCGACCGAATCGAAACCGACCGACAAAACCGACAAAAAACATGCTAAAATCGACCGAAACCGACCGAAAATAATCGAACCGAAACCGAACCCAAACTGACTCAAGTACTACGGTTCGATTTTCGGTTTCACCTTTTCAAAAATCAAAATCGACCAAATCGAAAACCGACCAATCCGAACCGACGGACACCCCTAGCCGCGGATATAGTAGAATGGTCAATTTGACCGTTTCAATAATAAAAGCGCGTTCTAAAATAAGAATGAATGTATCCTATTTTGGGTAGAAAACAAAGAATCCTATTTGAAAATTATACATTGTGTTGATGTCTATTTAGAAAAATTTCTTTAAACCATATGCAATAAACTTTCACAATTCATGCAAAACCCATCCACCGACCGATAGGATAGTACGAAACATTTTACATAGTATTAGATCATGTTATGTTCAAATTAGTAACTCGATTATATTGCTATTTAACAGGGTAGGTTATATTAAGAAATTTCACTCTAAGGAAATGTAGAGATATAAATCTATATACTCCTTCCGTCCTTTAAAATTTTGAAAACTTTGAATTTTTAGTCAACCATGTTCAACTTTGACCAACTATATATTTTTATAGGAAATTATTTATAATATAAAAAATATAAAAAATGTTCTTCATTAAAAGTATTTTCATATAGGTATAAAACTTATCACTTTCATCATATTATACTAATCAAAATCATGGTCTAAACTTTACCACTATTGACTTGAAAAGTCAAAGATGACAAAGTTTTTAGGGACGAAGATAGTAAACATGAACCTGAACCTCATTTGTAAAAGTTTGATAGTAGTATATTACAATGAAATATCGAATCTCTTAAGTTAAATGGATGAGATTATGAGTTTAGGTATTCCTTTTTTAAGTGTTACTCAATATTGCGTCCTTAATTTTAGGTGTAAGGTTAGTCCCTATAATATCTGCTTTATCCTTGCAGGTTCGATGCGAGAAGTTTTTTGTTAAAGATGAAGAACAAGAAAATGATGTTTATTGGAGATTCATTGAGTCTCAACCAATGGCAGTCCCTCACATGTTTACTTCATGTAGGAGAGCCAAATGCTAAGTATACTTTACAGAGATTTGGCCCTGTTTCTAATTTCTCATTCCCGGTATGATTAGATGTAAATATTGTTTTGACATACGTTTCAAATTTATTTAGAGGTGGATACAGAAATCTATGTTAATTATACTAAACTTAAACATTAACTGAGTTGGCTAAAAGTACAAAATTAAAAAAAATTATTTTGAAAAAAAAAAGTTATCTTGAACTTCAGTCCACCATAGTCTAAACGTCCTGATAGAGTATTAATCTTTAGAGAGAAGTAAAAGTTAGAAAGAGAAAGAGCAATTAATATATCTGAACCCCTTACAACTACCCCAAAAGGAGTATTTATAGGGAAAATATGAGTTTGGGCTCCCAAGTCTTGAGCTTGAGAGGCACAATATAGAATAAAGCCTTTATTGGGTTGGATACATGATTTATTTGGCTAAAGTATAAGATCTAGCTCTGCTTTGGTCTCTTTGACTGACGGAAGATCAGGTCAACAGAGGACCTGGCCGACGGAGGACCATCTGATCGATAGAGGATCGTGAGTGTCAACTGTGCTTATTTAATCTTCTGAATATGTGGATCATGATAGGGTCTGTGGCATATACTCTATCACGTCCCATGCCACTCACAATAACTAATGAAAAGCCCATCCTTTCTTGAAATGCATGGCAGGCGTACAATGTTTCTATCTTTCTCTTCCGAGCTGCTTTTCTTGTTGATCTTGTTAGACAAGATGATGACGTACGGGTATTGAAGCTAAACTCCATCAGCAATGGCACACAATGGAAGGAAATGGATGTGCTCGTCTTTGATTCATGGCATTGGTGGCTTCACACTGGCAGGAAACAAAAGTAATTAATTGAATTTACGGCTTTAATTCAGTCCAATAAACCATAAAACATACTCCCTCCGATTCTTATTTAAGTTTACACTTTCCTTTTTTTTGATGTCCCAACCAAGTTTACACTTCTTTATTTGGCAAACAAATCTACACCAAAACAGTGCAAAATAGTGCCAAAACAGTGCCATCAGTGTCAAACGGTATCACAACAGTATAGTCTGAAGTAAAATTTCTTAATATGCATGAAATCAAAGTGTCAAGTTAATTAAGAACCGGTGGGATTATATGATGTATTAGACTATTAGTAAGAACATAAGACTCAATTGCAATTCTCCATACATAATTTGTATGATCAATTTTCAAAAATTGACACTTCAATGGCTCAACAATTTTTATATTAATGCAGTTGGGATATTGTTGAAGATGGAAACGTCACCTATGCAGATGGAGATAGAATGAAAATGTATGAGAAAGCACTTCACACATGGGCAACATGGGTTGAAGATGAAGTAGACACTACAAAAACCAAAGTCTTCTTTCAAGGGGTTTCCCCTGATCATGACCAGTGAGTTTAAGTATACTCGTTTCATCCCAATTACTCCATATTTCAACTTAAAATATTTGACAAAATTTTCGAAATAGTAATAAAAGAAGTAAAACTCCAAAACATGAATACTGTGTTTTCAACTAAATAAGATTAATTTATTGTCATCCTAGTCGCCGAACTTTGTAGTCGGGACGTCTAGACTAAAATCGAGACACCCGACCACCGTCTAGCCCTACCAGGTGCCTAGAGTGATTTTTAGAAAATGCTTAACTTGATTTTATTGACAATGTAGTGTGCGAACCTCGGAGTCGGGAAATTGTACAGGGGTGACACGACCAACAAGAATACCGGCGCGACCTCATCGAGGGGAATTGGTGTTGGAGAAAGTTATAAGAACTATGTCCAAACCGGTCTATTTGTTAAACATAACTTCTATGTCACAATACAGAGAAGACGGTCACCCATCGGTGTTCGGCGCGGGCGGACATCGTGATCTTGATTGCACCCACTGGTGTCTACCAGGGATCCCAGATACTTGGAACCAGCTGCTATATACAGCCTTGTTTACCCACTCATAGAATGAGAATAAATAAAGAAATATTTACATATAATTTTACCCTCTAGTTTTTGGCTTTCGAATTCTTACGTCTATCTGAGTTCCTATATTATACACTCGGGTGCGTACATGTATCTAGGTTCTTTTGTAATTTATTTCAATTTTAGGTCCACTGATATGGAGCACTTTCCTCTCCCTAATTATTTCCAGCGTGTCATTTAAGTCCTAAGTCATCACTTCTCATTCTTTATACGAAGTGATGGATAGTGTACCCGGGGGTAGCTTATCTGAGGGGTTATTACGGGGAATAATAAGAGAGAAGTCAGAGCAAGTAAATATAGAGAGAGAAAGTGTATTGTAAAGTGTGGAGCGTTTTCAGCGTGTTATCGCCTGGTTACAAATGGGGAAAAGGGGTGCTATTTATAGTAGCAATAAATGCCGGACAGGGGCACGTGTCAAGCGTCCATTGGTCGAGAGGTCACCTCATCTGGTTGGCGCTGGCAACCGCATGTGGCGCGGATATCATGTCGGGGAAGGTGCCCTCGGCCGTAGAGGACTAGCCGAGGGCTCCGAGTACTGGGGACCCCCTTGGTGCCGAGGGCTACTGATTTTTGCCGTTTTTCCCAGTAACTTCGTTTTGCTGTCCTGGCCCTCCTGTGAGAGTTAGAGCCTTCGGTCAGGGGGCCGAAGGCACCCCTGGTGCGCATTGTGGGCTGCTTGGTACTCTGGGCACCGTGATTTGGGCATGTTGGGCCTTCTGGGCCTGTTGGGCCTTTATTGGAGTAGTAGGAGCCTGTGGGCCGGGGCTTCCCGGGCCATATACTCCATCAGGAGCCCCTCACTCCTTTTGCCGAAAGGTACTTGAGGGAAAAGGAGTAATTTGTGTTTGTCTCCTGCCGTTGTTCCGTTCGTAGTTTGTAGAGTTGTGGGTAGTTTGCTGTTTGTTTATTCTGCCGAGGGCAGTCCCTCAGTTACCCACATGTCGGGACTTGAGGGGTCATGTTTTTTATTTTTGTGATTTTTCCCGAGGGGGTCCTCCAGTCCCCCACTCCTTGAGGCACTTGCAAAGTGGTGAAAAGGAGTAAAGTAGTTGCGTTGTTGTCGTGCGCCGAAGGCTGACGCTTTTCGTTTCATTTTGGGGGGATGCCTCGTTAAAAACCTCATTAGAAAAAACCCTGTGGGAAAAAATCCTAATGAGGGAAAAAGAGTGCACCGAATTCCCCCAACGATGAATCGAAAATGTGAAACCTTGGTTCAAAATGGAGAATGATGGTAATGCCGAAGGCTCTTCCTTGTTCTGAGGGCTCATGCGTTGATTAGCCGGAGGCTTGTTGTTGATGTCCTGGGAGGTGCCGAAGGGGAGTCCCTCAATCTGGGGATCGAGGGCGTAATGAATGTGGGTAGCAGTCGAGTTGTTACCGGGGGGTCCCCTGTTTGTTGATTATTTGGTGATGAGGATATTCGAGGGCTCCCATTGCCTGTGTGGTGTAAGCTATCCGTCAATGAGGCATATTCCCCGGGGGCTACCCCGCCTTTACAGCGCTGAGGGGGGATCCCCGAGGGGCGGCCTGATATAAAGCCTTGGGCTTCTGAAGGAGTGATCCCGAAGGCGTCTGTTACGTACTGTGTGTGGCACAACCCGGGAGCGTCTCTGGGTAAGTGTACCCGGGGGCTCCCCTTGATGAAGTGGAGTGAAGTAAAAAACCCGGGGGCTTCCAGAATATAGCCGTTGGAAATATAGCCGTTTGAATACGTAACGTCAAGATATAGCCGTTGGGGGGGGGGGGTTGCCACGTGGTGCGTGCTCGTTGGCTGCCCGTGGGCGGGCGTCACCGATTGGGTGGAACCTCGGTTGGTAATGATGGCAGTCCAACCGGAGGCCCGGTTTCCAGGCCCAAGCCCGGATCCCAGCGCCTATAAATACCCCAAGGCCAGGGTCATTCTTCTTGTGCGAAATCCTTATAGCGAAGCTTTGCCAAATTTTCTAGAGAGAGAAACAGCAGCCCTTGATCAAATTCTTATTCCCAGGTCAGTTCTCCACTCGCACTTCACCTCTTTAGTTAGCTGTCTTGTGCCCTTAGGCTAGGAGATAGAGTTTTTAGAAAACACTAGCGTCTACGAGCCCTCGAACTAGAGCCAAAATGTCGTCCCAGAGTGATTCCCAGGACATCTCGGGGGTGCCCTTGGTGGGGGAAGAAGTTTTTTCGGACGTGGAGTCCTCAAGTGCACAGTCTTCGGTGGGACAGGATGCCGCCGTCGCCCTGGAGCTGCAGAAAGCCCTCTTGCTGAGGTGGAAGCCGAGGGCTTCGAGCAAGAATGTGAGGATGAAGAGCTGGCCCTAGCCTGGCAAGCAGCTGAAGAAGAGGCGCAAAGAGAAAGCGCGAGGGTCACCGTTGCTGTGCTCCCCCCTCGGGGTGCCGGTGAGGCCAGCACCTCTCGGCCGCTGAACGCGGTTCCCATCCGGGTGGCCCCCGGAAAGAAGAAGGCCAAGGTTGCTGCTCCCAAGAAGAAGGGCAGCGTTGCAGATCAAGGGAAGCCCCTCGATATGCCCGAGGGGTACTCCTACCTGAACACCGCCGCCTTGGAAATAAGGTCGAAGGTTGATGCGGCAGACATCTACGTCACTCAGCTACACGTGGGCCCCTCGGCCATCGTGGTGACACCGGGTCCAGATGACGTCCTCTCCCGGGCTCCCGAGGGCTGTATTGCGGTGCACGTTCTCTCGGTGTCCATAGGGCTCCGCTTCCCCCTGCATCCTTTCCTCCGGGAGTACCTCCGGTTCGTGGGTTTGGTCCCTTGCCAGCTGACCCCGAACAGTCATTCCTACATCACGGGCTTCCTCCAGCTCTGCAAGTCCCGGGGGGTGACACCTAGCCATAAATTTTATTTAAATAATATTTTGGAAAAATCTCTTCTTTGGTGTTTATATGTTCTTACATTTTTGAAAACCGTGTATTGAAGTATATAAAATGAAAAAACTACTAGGTATTACTTTCATCAATAAAATACAAAGGTATTAGTTAAGAGTCGCATAATTAATCATGCACCTTGCACTCTTGCATGCAGTAGTCACATTTAATATACTTCAATTAGGAAGTTTTACGTAGTACTATGTATATACTACTTCCGTTGTCTTTTAATTGCAACATTGAACTTTTTGCACTATTCACATATTCTACTTTGACTATATTTTGCTCCCTCTGTATCTAATTAAATGACGGAGTTTAAGACAATTACTGTAGACTATATAAAAAGTAAGAGATTTTTGGTACTGTAGCGGTACTGTAGTGATACTGTAGCTGCTTTTTGAGTGAGATTCTTTCCAAAAAAGGAAAGGAGACAATTAATTTGATACAAAAAAAAGGAAATTGTGACAAGTAAATAGATACGGAAGGAGTATTTATTAATGTATTACAAATTAAAATTTTTAAAAATATTATTAAATTCTTTTCATTTAAAATTTTCAAAATCTGAATTTTTTAATTGTTTTACTAATAAGGAATGAAATATGACCATTTTACATTTAGACAAAAAAGTGACCTCATTTAAATAAAAATAAGTCAGATACTCGTAACCCTAGTCAACCTCACTTTCATTTCACGCTACTCTGCTGCTCTCCTCAGACTGCCGACCCCACTGCACAACCTCATCCACGCTGCCAACTTCATCGCAATCTCCAACCACCATAGCGGACGCCATCTTTGACCACCACAACCGTCTCCCTCGCCCCCATCTCCATCATCGACCTCGCCTACCCCGTTCCGAATTTCAATTTCTTCTCTATCTGTTCGGGCAATGGGGAGGCAGATGGGAGTCGAACGACCGTCGGCGTGATCGATTGAAGCAGATTCATCTTCTTCATTGGGTGACAACTCCAATTTGGGGTCGTCAGTGCCGGATCCGCCATCCTCCATGGACGATGAGTCCGATTTAGGGCTGCCGCTGCTGGTGGCATGCGACAAAGGTTCCGTGGTGGTGCGGTGGCTAGGGTTTTGGCGAACTTGACGGAGAAGGGCCTGGGGGACAGGGGCGGGACAGGGGAGCAGGGGAGTAGGGGGCGGCATCGTTGTGGCCTTAGAGCCTGAGCTGGGGGAGTGGGCTGGGGCTGGGACTTAAGTCACTACGGCGGCTTCACTGAAGCAATGTCACTATGACAGTGTAACTGTGACGGTTTCACTGTGTCATTGTAGCCTGTGGCGGCATTTGCTACACGGGCGCGGTTGCGGCAGTGACATTCGAATAGTGACATAAAAATATAATAGTGACATAAAAATATGGCAGTTACATAAAAAATGACAGTGGCATCATCTTTTTCCAAATATGTGACCTTCATAGTCGCATTTTTGTCTTTTTTAGAAAATGGTCACATTTTGGTAAATTAACTTTAATTCGATATTATTGAAGGAAAAACTCCATATATTAATAGGTGTGTGACCCTGTAGTCGCATTATTGAAGGAAAAACTCCACATTTTGGTAAAACCCTCCAAGAGGCCCTAGCCCAATACCATTCGAAACCCTATTTCGAATTGGCTAATCAGGCTATTTTAATGTTATTAACGAACATTAATGATCCAAATCACTTAGGTGTGTGACCCTGTAGGTTTATATATTATTGGCAGTGGGCTAAAAAATTAATTCAAGCCTCACAAATCATAAGCGGCTTCTAGCAAGGTATTATGACTATCAAAAATATATAAATGTCAATTAAATCTGACATAACCTTTTAATGATTAATTTGTGCTAATAATTCTCTTTTGTCAAACGATATCTTAATTGAGACAAGGTTAGGTCATGTCATCCTTGTTATTCTCAATTAATATTTCTTGATTACCATGTAAGATTAATTTTGAACAAATGACACCTCATTTGAGCATGGCCATGCTAATTAATCTTACTTGTCAAGGGGCCCAATAGATATCTTTCTCTCGCTATACGAGAGTGACAAAAACTATCTTGATAATTCACATACCACTACATGGTTCATAATATGTACAATCACCACCATTATAATTACCCATTTAAAAATAATATTTAATGGTGTTAATACATATTAATTCGCATGCAAGTAACCATGATTATCTCAAATATAAGAATATAGCACCTCATCATTATTGAGGACAACACTGATGACATATAACCTAGCAGTGTCCTCAAGTTGGGTCTGTCCAATGAACTTGTTCAATAACAAGCATCTATGTTATTAACTTGATATCTCTATACTCATGACT